GGGCTCCCTGCGCTGACAGGCGGCGGCCGGACCGCGGAGGCCCCGCCCGCGCCCTTTGCCTTTCCTCCCGGTTGTGAGCCCTGCGGCGCCTGCCCGGCCTCTGTGGGCCTCACGGGCAGAGCTCTGTCCTCTGTCCAGGCTGCAGGGCAGCCCTGAGGCTGGGCTTCTCCGCCCCGCTCGGTAAACTCCGCTACCAAGCCCGCCTGAGGTTGTCTCCCAGTCAGGCCCGACTTGGGAGTTGGTCCTGGCCCCTGAGTGTCTCGCCAACCAGCACACACCTCCCTGAAGTGGACTTTCGCTTCAGTGTGGGGGGTTCGGACGCTTAGAAACCTCAGTGGCGAGTAAGACTCACAAATGCCAAGTGCTTTTGCCAAATCCGCAATAGATACAGTAGAATAGATGGGTGGTTTTCTTCTCTGGCGCCTGGGAGACGCCTGCAGCGGGTTTGGGGTGCGTCCCACCCGGGGGCTGGCCCCTCCCGCCCACCTCGGGGACTGGGAGTGAGGCTCCCTGAGGCTCCCAGTCAGTGAGAGACTTTGCGGCTCCTGCAACTGGCAAAAGGTCTGTCTGGATTTCGAAGAGGGGAGAAAGAGCCTGTGTATGTGCATTTCGAAGAGGGGAATTAGATTTCTAAAGTAAGTGCTCTAAGAGGAAGACCAGGCGGCCAGTTTCTTCCCTCCCCTTCAAGGGGAAGCGCTAAGCTCTTCAGAGGGGTGTGGTGGGTGCGCCGGGGCCCTCGTGGTAGCTCGCGGGGCGGCTTGTCCTTTGCCGGTCCCCAGCCGCCTGGCGGCCAGCACACCCGACCCCCCTCGCCGCCAGGTTTGGGGTCGGTGGTACGCCCAGGAAGCCTCTGGCGGGCGCCGCCGGTGCTGAAGCCCCCGGCCTCTGACCCCCACCCCGTAGGTGGAGATTGGGAAGACGGTCAAGGCCTATGTCCGGGTGCTGGACCTCCACAAGAAGCCTTTCCTGGCCAGATACTTCGCCTTCATGGACCTGAAGCTCCGGGCCGCCTCCCAGATCGTCACGTTGGTGTGAGTTTTCCCCGGGGAGGAAGAGGGTGTCTGGGGCCCGGCTCCGACTGGTCTGTCTGGGGGAGATGTCCCAACCCTCCCCTCTCTTCTAGGGCCCTCGATGAGGCCCTGGACAACTACACCGCCACCTTCCGGGTCCACGGGGTGACCATTGGCCAGACTAGCCTCACGGCGACCGTGACCGATAAGGCTGGACAGAGGATCAACTCGGCCCCGCAGCAGATCGAGGTAAAGCTGTGTGCCCTCGCACCGCCCGCCTCGGCTCAGCCCCGCTCCCAGCCGGGCTGGGGCGCACGCCTCTCTGTGCAGGTTGGGGTGCCCCGAGCAGTCTGGAGGCTGCCATTGCCGTGAGAGGACCCTCTTCGGTCTGTGCGTGGCGGTGTCCTCCGATTACCAGGGCGCCTCCTTCAGCCCCAGCGTGGGGCAGACCAGAGGGGGCTGATGTGGGGTGTGACGCCACAGGGAGAAGGGAGCCACTGTGGCTCCTGGGCGAGGCGAGCACACTTTAACCCTCGCAGTGCCAGCAGCCTGTGAGTAGTGGGGCAGCGGTTGACCTGGGCTCAGCATGGCAGCGCCCCAGGTCCTGTGGGCCCTAGCGCAGGCCCTTTGGGCCCAGGGCAAGCAGGCCTGCAAGGGCTGAGCTCAGCGTGTGACCTGGGCTGTGGCGTTAGGTGTGACGGGGCGAGGAGTCACCAAGCTTATCTTCCAGGGCAGCATCTGGCGGCTTTGCTGGCCCCCGCCTGGTGGCGTGTCTTCTGCAGCCGGTGGATGGTCGGTGCCTGGCCTCCCCTGGCGACAGGCAGGGCCTTTCTGCCTGTCAGGGGAGGCCCTGCGCACACTGACCCGGCTCCAGGAGCAGCCCCCGAGCCCGGCGGCCAGCGCTGGCGCTCACCCCGCCCAGCAGGGAGGATGGGGGTGCAGAGCTTCTGTGCGGAGAGGGAGGGAGGCCTCCCTGTTCCTGCCCACAGCGGCTCCTTCCGCATGGGGGAGAGGCGAGCGCATTGAGGTCAGGAGACGTTTGGAAGCTTTGGAGAAAGAGCAGCCTGCTAGAGAGGAGCAGGGACATCTTGGTGGCAGTGGGCTCTAAACTCGGACACGGTGCAGAATCCCCGTTAGAGCAGCTTGCAGGCCGCCGCCTGGCTTGCAGGTTGGGGTGAGCTGGAGAACGTGCATTTCCCGTGGTTCCCCGGGGCGCGCACAGCAGAACACCCGTTCCGTGGGCCGTGGGCGGGGTGAGCGCCCGTGGGGGCCACGGGGTCCCGCTTCCCAAACGGAGGGTGAGGTGTTCATGTGAACTCCACGCAGCTGCCTCTTCCTCTTGTCTCCCCACATCCAGGTCTTTCCCCCATTTAGATTGATACCCAGGAAGGTGGCGCTGATTATCGGGGCCACGATGCAGGTAGGCGCCGGAGGCCGCACGCACCCCCCACCCCCACCCCCCACCTGCTGCACACCTGCAGCCTGCCCTGGGGCCGGGAGGAGCTTGGTGAGAGTGCGCCCCGCCCTCTGAAGGTGACGTGGGGGGTTGCTGACGGGCACTGCCATTCCCCCACTGCAGATTACCTCCGAGGGCGGCCCCCAGCCCCAGTCCAACATCCTCTTCTCCGTCAGCAACGAGAGCGTGGCGGTGGTGAACGGCGCAGGGCTGGTGCGGGGGCTCGCCGTCGGCAACGGCACCGTGGCCGGGGTGGTGCAGGCCGTGGATGCCGAGACCGGCAAGCTCGTCGTCGTGTCCCAGGTAAGGGGCGGAGGCCGCGCTCCACACAGCCCTGACCCGGCCCCGGAGCGAGCCCACCGCCTGGGCTCGGGCTCTGGCCCGTGTCCCCGAAGGTCGCTCCTGCTCTGCCGCTCGGCCCCGGGCAGCCCTGCCAGCCTGGGAGCAGAGGGGCCCAGGGCTGCTCTTCTCCGCACGGAGTCTCCCCAGCTGCCCTGTCAGGGACCCTGCTGGGAGCGACTCGCTGCCCGCCCCGGGCAGAGCTCCTCGAGGTGGTGTCTGGGCCGCCCTGCACTGCTGGGGAGGCCCCTGCAGGCGCCCGAGGCTGACTCCCTGGAGGCAGCGTCCTGTGCCTCCGTTCACCCCTTCCGGCTTCAGTGTCTCTGCGTCCCATTGGCTGATTGCATAACGACGGGGGGCGGGGAGCAGTCGCTGTCCTCTGGCGTAGCGCAGCGTTGAGAGCGACGTCCTGGGAGTACAGTCCAAGCTCTGGGGGCCCGGCTTTGCCTTTTCTCCGAGGAAAGGATCGCAGCGTGGAAAGGGGCGGCTCGTTCTCCTCACAGAGCCCCTGTGGCTGAAGCCACGGCTGGCTGCAAATCTGTGGGGCACAGCCATAAGTTTCCCTCTGGCCTTCATTCTTCTTTGTGGTCTGACTCTGCTTGGGCCGCCTCCCCTCTGTGTCCCCTGCACCCCACAATGAGGCCTTTTGGGAGAGGTGCTGCCCTGGTGCCCCCAGGCAGATGGAGAGGCTGCGCCATCAGCCTCTTCTAAAAGCATCTCCGTAGGGCCAGCACGCGGGCTCAGCCCAGGCCCACAGTGGGTGTGTGATTCTGGTCAGAAGTTCCCAGTTCCATTTTCCCAAACCAGGTCACACAATCAGAGCCCAAAGCCAAGGAGTGGTCCAGGACTGGCAGGAAGCAGCTAAGCAGTGAAAAAAGGAGGAAGGGAGGGCAGGGAATGGGTACATCCTGGGCACCTGTCGCAGGCCAGGTGTGAAGCAGATCACGAGGCGCAGGTGGTGGCCCACTGAGCGCATTCAGAATGGCCTTTAGGGGCTTAGTAGCCAGGTTCAGCATGAGGAAGTGGCACTATGGAAGTGAAGAAGCCAACAATTAGACTTTGGCCATGTTAATAGGAGTATAGAATTCAAGATGAAGGAGGGTAAACGGTCTTCTCTAATCACACTTTCTGATTCTTGCTTTTGTCTATGCTCAGAGAGCGAGGCTAGATTTGGGGCTGGGAGGGTCTGGCGACCTCTTCTGTGAGAGCTGCCGGCTTTAGATAGGCGTCCCTCATTCCTGACTTCAAACCTCCATAGTACTGACCTAGAGCATGTGGATCTAGACTAGTCTGGAGGCAGAGAACCAGGCCAGGCCCCCCAGAAGAGGCAGTGGCCATCGAGGGTGGTGGGTCTTGCGCAGACTAAGCCGCGCTGGGAAGAGAAGCAGCAGGCCAGACGCCTGGTGGACACCTTGTAGCCACGTGATACTGGCTGACCGCGGCAGGGGCATCTTCCTGAGAGGGCTCCCTTCCCAGAACACCCACCCTAGAACAGAGCCCGTCCCCAGCCAGCCCGAGCCCCAAAACCCTTTTCTAGGACCTCGTGGAGGTGGAGGTGCTGCTTCTCCAGGCAGTGAGGATCCGTGCCCCCATCACACGGATGAGGACAGGCACCCAGGTAGGTGGGAGCCTCCCCTGCACGCCTGTCTGCTCTCTGAGCCGCATCTTGGGGGGTTGGGGGCTCCACACTCAGGGTCAGCCTTGGCGAGCCACTGCTCACCACGTACATGCTCCCTTCCTGTGGGGCACTTCCGCCCCCACCCTCACCAGTCATCAGTGTGGGGTGCGGCTTCCAGACCCTTCCCCCCACTTCCTGCCCCTGACACACCACGTCACTCTCCCCACGGTGGTTGCAGCCACCCCAGGGGGCTGCTGCAGGTTTCCTCTCCACCGCAGGTGAGGAGCCACACGCGGCTGAAGCGTCTGCCCAGGTCCTGGGGCTGTTTAGGTGATGGGCCAGGGAAGGCACTCGGGCGGCCCGGCTGGAGCATCTTCCCCCCGGGTCGTGTAGCTGTGCCACGTGTGGCCCTAGCAGCCACGGGGACATGCGGCTGGGAGGGGACAGCGCCTCCCTCCCACCGTGACGTGAGCGGGCCCCCACCCTGCTAAACAGAACAGGTAGAGGTAGAGTTGTCCTGGAGGGGCTGGGCTGCATCCTAGAGCTCTAGGGAGGCCTCCCAGTGTTAGGGTCATGGCCAAGGAGGTCCAAGGAGGACGGCCCAAACCTGCCATACCTGTCCCTGCTTAACAGAGTTAGACTTTGGCCAGATAAATAGGAGTATAGAATTCAGAATGAAGGAGGGGGTAAGGGAAGAACTGGGCACAGCTCCCCTCACCCAGCAGGACACACTCAACAGTGGACATAGCGCCCCTGGACTCCTGGCGGCCTTCCAGGGTTGGGACTGCTGTAGGGCCTGGTTTCTCCCCACAGATGCCTGTCTACATCACCGGAATCACCAACAACCAGAACCCTTTCTCCTTTGGCAATGCTGTGCCGGGCCTGACCTTCCACTGGTCGGTCACCAAGCGGGACATCCTGGACATTCGAGGACGGCACCATGAGGTAACACCCGGGCCAGTATCAGGGTGAGGCCGGGTCTCACCACGTCTGCACCTCACGGCCCATGGGTCTGGGCCTGTTCCCGCACCCTCTGCCCCACTCTCGACCACCCCTCCCTAGCCCCACCCTCTTCTACTCAGCCCTGCTCTCGCCCAGGGCCGTGGCTCCCGGTGTCCCTCTCGGGGCCCCTTTGCATCCCACTGTGAGGGGTGGAGTGGGTACCCTGCTAAGAGAAGCCTCCCGGACAGCCAGAGCGCTTCAGAACAGGAGCTTGGCCTGCCCCAAGGGGTGCTTCTGACCTCTTCCTGAGCTGGTGCCTGGCAGCGGGGGTGGCTTCCAGGCTTCCTCCCCTGTGCCTGCACAGGGCACTCTGACCTCTCCTCACCCCCAGCCCTGGAGCAGCTGTAGAAAGCCTGCCGAGCCCCTCTGTGTGTGAACTGGAGCCAGGACAGGGAAGCGGCTCCCCCAGCTGGCCTGAGGGGAGGTGGGGCTGCGTGCCAGGCCGCCCGACTGCAGGCTGTAATCTTGCCGTGGTCACGTGGGGCTCCTTGGGTGTTGGGTCTGAGCAGGTCCTTGCCTCTGCATGGACGGTGGGGGTGAGGGCCTTCCGAGGGGCCAGAGATGGGCACAGGCTTTCCTGGAGGCTGCCTGATAGATCCCGCCCCCCGCCACAACGGGCCTGGCTCCTGCTGTCCGTGCCCGGCCATCCCAGGTGGCCCAAATGGTTCCCCGGGCGGTGAGTCCACCGCAGAGGGCTCTGGGGGACCAGGCGGAGCCTGGCAAGCTCCTCGGTGAGTCACCACCCCCCCCCAAGCTGCAGGCCCTGAGACTGCTGTGCCAACACTGGCTGGCGCCGTGGGCTGGCATTTCCCAGACGCACCGTGAATCGGCAAAGCGCAGCGTGGGGTGTGCTGCTCATACCGGGGCGTCTGCTAACGTGGCCCTGGGGGTGCAGGCCGCGGCCGGGTGGGAAGGCGGCAGCTTTTGAGAATTCCCAGGCAGCTTTTGGGTCTGCTGGCTGCTGCTCTCGGGCTCCAGTGTGACTCTGCTCTTTGGGGGTGGGGGTGGGGGGCAGGGAGCCCTGGCCCTCTCCCCGAAAGCACGTTCGGTGTCTGCCCCAGGCATCGATCCGGCTGCCGTCACAGTACAACTTTGCCATGAATGTGCACGGTCGGGTGAAAGGCCGGACGGGGCTGAGGGTGGTGGTCAAGGCTCTGGACCCCACAGCTGGGCAGCTGCTCGGCCTCGCCAAGGAGCTCTCTGATGAGATCCAAATCCAGGTAAGGACAGGTGGCAGGAGCCACTCGACCGTGTGTGGTCTCCCACCACCCCCGGGCTAGAGGTGGGGGCCCTGGCCCTGACTGGGGAGCTCTGCGTATTTGTGGGGACGTAGGTGGCTGTGGGGTGGGCATGGTGGGGTTTGGGGTCGGGCAGAGACGGTATAGGGTCAGCCTCTGTCATCCGGTCCCTGGGCTCCCGCTGCTGGAGAGGAGCAGACGCCCGGACGTGCTCTGTTTCAGGTATTTGAAAAGCTGCTGCTGCTGAACCCTGAAATAGAAGCCGAACAGATATTAATGTCGCCCAACTCGTTCCTCAAGCTGCAGACAAACAGGTAGGCGGCTCGTGCTGCTGGCCCCGGTCGTGACGCTGCCCCAGCGGCGGCCTCGGGCGTCGGGGTCGGCAGGAGCCGGCGCGGTGCAGCGAGGGAGCAGGCGGCCGTCTGGGCTGCGCGTGGCGTGCGTGGCCAGTACGTTCCTCCTGCCGATCTGCAGCCCCCGCCCCTAGCCCGCTGCTCGAGCTTAGAAACCCCGAATGCCCGCGGCGGGGTCCAGACTTTAATGGGAGAAGGTGGCCACTTGGAAGGGTTCTGGTTTCAAGTGTGCCTTGAGACTTGCTGTGCAAAGTGTGCCACAGCAGCCACGTGCCACGGGGCAGCCTGCACAGTGCACATCACACCCCGGGCCCACAGCCCAGCAAGCCCCAGGCCGCAAGGACACGCAGCCATTCAGGGAGGCTGGCTTGGAAGCCCGTGTGCACAGGTCTTGGGAGACGGAGACTGTCGCCTGCATTTGCAGCCTGGGGGCACCTGCAGCTTCTAGGAAGCACACACGACACTCACCCGCCACGTGGCTCAGTGCCAGCTACACGCTGGCTCTGGGCGCAGGGCTGCACGCACCTGGTGCTCTGGAGGCATCTGCTGGGCGAGGGGGCGCGGCACGAGAGGGGTGTGTGCAAACAAGGGGTGAGAGTGAGTCGTAGCTGAGAAGGGCCTTCCACGTGAGGACCCAGGGAGGAGCGCGTGCGGGTCGCTGGAGCTCAGCCCTGAAGGATGTGTAGGGCGCAGGCAGCTTGACGACGGGCGAGGTTGAGGGAGAGACAGTGGCGGTTGCTTCAGGTCACCTGAGGAAGGTCCCAGGACTCAGGGCAGAGAGACCAGCGGGGGCTCACCTGCAGGCCGGTCACTGTCCTCTGTGGGATACCTCAGAGGCCACGGAGTAGGTCTGGGCTCCCTTGTCTTGGGCCCCGCGCGTGCCACGAGTAGGCTGAGAAGCCCAACTCTGCCGGGAGCAGGCCTTGAACTGGGCCAGGGCAGGATGCCTGCCACCGGGTGGGGCCGCCACCCCACAAGCAGCCTCATCTCAGCGAGTACAGAGCGGTTTGCCTAGGAGTGGCGTGCGCGGCCAAAGCCCTGTGTAGCCGGCCAGGGAGCCGCCCGCCCTGCCCCCGCCGGCTGGGGCTGCTGCCCTGGAAAGGGCCAGACAGGCAGCTCCCAGGCCTGGCGGTTTTCCATCAGCGGTTTAGGAGACACAGACGGGCTGCCCACTCGTGCCCCCTAAGCGCGGCGGGGCCGAGACAGGGCTCCTTCCCGCGCCCAGGAGCGGCGGCGAGCTCCAGGGCGCTGGGCCTTGTGCCGGCCCTGTCCTGCGCGGTCCTGTCTGAGCACGCGGCTCCTTCTTGCTCTCACAGGGACGGCATGGCTTCTCTGAGCTACCGTGTCCTGGACGGGCCCGAGAAGGTCCCCCTCGTGCACGTCGACGAGAAAGGCTTTCTGGTGTCAGGGTCTGCGATTGGCACAGCCACAGTCCGAGTGACTGCCCAGGAGCCTTTCGGAGCCAACCAGACCATCACCATTGGTGTCAAGGTACGGTCATGTCTTTCCTCGTTCGGGAGTCACGAGAGCAGGGGTGGAGGTGGGGGTGGAGGTGAAGTATTTCCTCTTGCCGGTGCAAAGGTGCCCGCGCTCGCCGTCCGGCTGAGAACTTACTAGAGAGTAACAGGGCCAGACGTCCTGGCTGGGAAACTGCATCCTCTTCTGGCCGTCAGAGCCAAACCCTCGGAGACGACTGAGCGCAGCGACCTCATTCGTGGTGGGGGAAACTGAGGCCCGGCAGGTCTGTGCTGTGCTGGGCCTGGTGCCCATGGTACTGCCCAGCCAGCCGGTGCCTGGAAGCCACCTGAGATCCGGACCTGGGTCCCGTCGTGATGACGTACCGGCCCCTGGAGAACGAGGTGGCCGTTCCACAGTCCAGGGCGCCGAGCCCCGCGTGGGGTCGGGTAGCGTGGCTCACCCCAGATGGCGGCTCACCCCAGGTGGCGGGCCGGGGCCCGGGGCCCGGCCGGGCTACCTTCACGCCCTGCCTGCCCCCTGCCTCCTGGGCCGGGTCCTGGGCTCATCCAGGACAGGATTTTCTTTCCCTCTGTTCGTGGTCATTTTCTGACCCCCAGATGACAGAGAATGTCGTCCGGTCTCAGGCCTGCTTCCTTAATTACCGTCTCGGTTTCCGAGCCAGGTGCCTGGCAGCCGTCACCCTACTTGTAGAGGCAGTGTGAACCCGACTTGCTGCTCATCTCCCTCCCTGGACACAGCAGGGCCTGCTGCGGTGTGTGCAGCTGGCCGGCACCCCGCTCGGTTTCGGCAGGGAAAGTGGGCCTTTGGGGGTCCGGCTGTTTGGCCGGAGTCAGAGCCACGGCTGTGCTTCATAGTTTCTGGGGGCCCAGAACTCATGGCGCCCTCCTCCCCCCACCGCCCCTCCCAATGGAGCTCTGCGGGTACGGCGGCCCCCACCGCGCTGCCTTTGCACCCAGACGCGGCCGCCTCTATTTAAATGCCGGGGGGCCGGTCCGCTCAAGACACCGAGCGTTCCGGCCCTGGGGAGATCTTTGCAGTGTGAATAATGGTCTGGTTTCTCGAAGTCATGGCTGTTGGCTCTCCTAGATTGGCTTTCCTTTCAGTGAGCTGGCCCGCTGCCTGGCAGGCCCACGCGCTCGGGTGGAAAGCTCGGGCAGCGGGGCCCCCCTCTGTGCTCCTGAGCCACCCCAGCGCCCCGTCCTTCCGAGACGGGGCCCTGCCCGGGCAGGCGTCTTGGGGGTGCTGGGCTGAGGGGCCGTCCCCGGCCGTCACGGTCACACGTGCTCACGCATCTCCAGGTGTCTCCTGTTTCTTACCTGAGGCTCTCCATGAGCCCCGCCCTGCACACCCAGAACAAGGAGGCCCTGGCGGCCCTGCCTCTAGGGATGACCATGACCTTCACTGTCCACTTCCACGACAACTCCGGGGACATCTTCCATGCTCACAACTCAGTCCTCAACTTCGCCACGAACAGGTAGGCGATGCCGTGGCTCATGTGGTTGTGAGCGGCCCTCAAAGTGTGGCCCCCGGATCAGCGTGACCTGGCCACTCAGAAATGCACTTGCACGGGGCCACTGGTCTTGTTTAACCAAGGCCTCTGGGCGATCGTACAGATTGTGAACCACGGACCCGGTTAGGAGAGATGAGAAGCGGGAAGGCTTCGGTGGGCGCCAGAGAGCACTCCTGGGGGGGGGGGGGGGGGGGAGCAGAAGCTCGCGTCCAGGTGGTGCCGACATTGCCACTCGGCCTCCCCTCAGCCCTGCAGCTGAGGCGTCCCCCTTGCTGAAGGCCCAGGGCCTGGGGTGGTGGAAGGACCGGGCTTGGGGGCAGACCTGGCTCGGCCCTTCCCGGGGGCCGTGGACTCGGGGGAGCTGGGCACGTGCCAGCTGCCCGGTGGCCGCCCACTGGCTCAGCGGTCTCACGGGGCCTGTGGCGTGTGGGCAGCGTTCCCCCATCTCGGGAACACCCCCCATCTAGGGAATTAGGGGGCGCTTTACACAGCACGGTGGTGCCTGGCCCCCACTTTAACGTCTACCCTGCCGCAGGCCACTGGTGTCGCAGGCCACGCAGCTGATGGGGTGGGGTCACGGCCTGCCGTGGGCCCTGTGCGGCAGCCACCTTTCGGGAAACCGAGTCGGCGGACCCGCCCCACTCCAGAGCGGGGCTCTCGCTGAGACTGCGCCCCCCTCCGTGCCTAGGGACGAGTTCGTGCAGGTCGGGAAAGGCTCCACCAACAACACCTGGGTGGTCCGTGCCGTCAGCGTGGGCCTGACGCTGCTCCACGCCTGGGACACGCAGCACGCCGGCCTCTCGGACTTCGTCCCGCTGCCCGTCCTGCAGGCCATCTCCCCGGAGCTGCCCGGAGCGGCGGTGGTGGGGGATGTCCTCTGCCTGTCCACTGCTCTGGTCAGCCTGGAAGGTAAGGGCGGTGGCGGCCGGCACCCTTTGCGCGCTGGCACGTCACGGCGGCGCCGGGCTCCCCGGGAGGGCTGGGAGGGG